GGCTGCACCAATCTCTTACCAGCGGGTGGGCTGGGCTGGGGCAAGGTGGGTGGCAGTGGTGCTGGGAGTGGGGAGCTGTGGCAAGTTTTGGCTGTAGCCCACCCCGTTGTTCCCCCTCTCAGCACCATTGCTGCCTGTCCCCACCCACCCCAAGCACAGCCCCAGTCCAACCCCACTTCCAGGAAGAGGCTGGTGCAGCCCCCGGCTCCAAGCCTGCAGTGGACAGCCTGTCCTTACCCTGTGCATAAATCCAGGGGGTTCATGGCCCCCATGCCTTCCCTGGGCTGCGTGCAGTGGTGGGGAGCTGCACATCCTTTCTCCCCAACACTCCCTGGACGAGCTGCCTGCAGCTCCATCCCATGCTTCACCCCAGCTGGACAGAGTCTGCCCCTGCTCCTGCCCTAGCCCCACTCTCTCCCCCTCTCTCACTGTGGGGGCCTTGACCCCCCCAACTCTTTCCCTCCCCCCATGACCCTTCCCTACCCCCCACAGACTTACCAGCCGGACACTGCTCTCCAGGCCACCGGGCTGGATTCCTGGCCATACGCATGCTGCAGCTGCGCACATGCACACCTCATTTAATCAGTGACATTCATCAGCTGCACCAGCCAAAAAAAGCCAATTGCCGATAATGTTGATTTTCCTTTTATCAGTGCTGATCCATTATGGACTGATATATCAGAGCACCTCTAAAATACTAGTAGTTGCACTGTTTAAGAAAATAAAAGCCAAATTCCAGAAGGGTTGTTACATCAGGTACATGTCTCATCATCACATAAGGAGGTATTCTGTCTCTTCTGCTTAAGGACAGTGCCATGGAGGCTATACAGTCCTTCTATATATCACTGGAACATTCTCCAAGAGGTAGGTACCCTCCACACACTTACAAAGTCTAACCTCCAACACCATGGAACCAAAAATACCTTGTGTGTCCCCCCATCCAGTCACCCAGCAGAAATGTCCTGGACGAAGAAAGCTGTCTCTCTTAGGCAGGCAGGCATAGTGAATAAAATGGTTTGTTACAATGTCTTCCACAGGCTTGACCAAGGCAGTGTCATAGTCTAGCTCATTCAGGTGAGGATAGCGGAACTGCTCATGCTGATAAATTCGTTTCACATGGTAAACACTTTCTGTAGATTCAGCATGGTTAATGCTGTGCTTTCCCAGAAGAATTCTCCACTTTTCAACACCTTCTTCCTTTTCCCTAAAAAGAATTCAGGTAACACAGACCTTCAGTAAACCAAACTCAATGCCATTTTTGTACTGGTCTTTTTTACCTTTTGTGATTATGTGCAATAGGTACTAATCCTTGTACTACCATGGGTGAGCTGAAGGTGCCATTTACTTCCAACTGTGTGACAATCAGATCAAAGTATTCAAATTTAAAGTGGCATTCTTTAGAAGTACAAAATAGTCTGCTTAAATCAGACAAAGGGTTATTTATGGATAAAAAGCAAGATCCTGTTGCAAAAGGAAATTACAGTAGCAAAGATGGAAGCTGTAATACAGCTGTAATACAGGTTCAGTGAAGAACAAAATAATTTATCACTTTTAGCAGGTTCAACAGAAGTATTTAATAGGCCTATGTGAAAGAAAAATAAACGAATGTTTTACATGGACTTAATTATTCACATGGATGTCATATAATCTGAAGTAGGTTGTTCCTTACAAAAGCTAATTCCTTTCTAAACTAGTTAATCACTAAAAGGTCCTACTCTCCCCTACCTTCTGCATGGCCTTCCTAAGATATTGAATTGACTGAATCCATCAAACTGCTACTTGACATCTTAAATGACATGAGGGTTTTAGATAGGATCTTTCTAGTGAGGTGATTTCACCCTTATGCTACCTTGCATATGGCTCGGAATATACTTGAGTGTTTTTCATAAACTTTATTTAGCCTGCTCTTATTGAATAACTGTTATAATTTGTTGTTCATTAAGCTCCATTGCATTAATTTCATTTTGCTACTTTATAATATCCTTTACATTATCTTTCACCTTATGATTGCTCTAGTACAAAATTAAAAACTACATTGCATTTATTTGCAAAGGGAAATTACCAAATGTATGACATATTTACAGAGGAATAGAATGCTTCTTACGGGGTAAGAATTATTAAATAAAACTTTACCAGATACAGGAATGAGCCACTTTCTGTACCATATGAAAGAGTCATAGAGCTTTTTGGCTGTTTGAAAACCAGTGTAGAATACTAATAATAGAAACCCAATTGCTTTAAAAATCACAGAAGATCATGTTCATTGTTTTTTAATCTTTCCTTCCTTTGATCTCTCTTTTCAGTTCCAGTAACAAAAGCAGACATCTTTTGAACTCATTTCTACAGCAGTTCAGTAAGTTTTCCTAACATATCCTCTGGTTAGATGGATTCTTTTGTTTTTACCATGGTAATGTCTAGATTAAGAGCTCTCACCAATGTGAACAATTTTTCTTGATCAATTTCTGTCAGATCTCATGTATGTATTTTCTAGGGACTGAAGTAGAGAATGTGCCTAATTCCATATTCATTTCTTTTGGTGGAAACTGTTCACAAAGATACATCCCTCAACCCTTCAGGAATTTAAACAAAGATTGTAAGTGTAGAACTCACTTCTGAAAGCAGTGGGCAGCAGTAAGAATCCATCTTTTGTGAATGGGAGTTCCACCGCAGACATGAACAAATCTCTTGCTTGTTCTTGTTTGAAACTAGATCATAAAAATAAAGAAAATAATGGAAGTTACATAAATATGAGATGTAATTTTTAGATGTATGAGGAGTGGAAAAGTTAGTGACAATGTGATAATGCCCTCTACTGTGCAGTTTGTGTTAGTAGCAGTTGCGTGGAGTGGGAGAAGAAAGTCCATTTGCTCCTGCATTTTTGTAAAATGCAACTAAAAGAGTCATTTTGAAAGACATATGGGTCAGCTAACAAATGTGAATTGAGAAATGGGTGTCACAGGTGTGCCTACTCCTTTAAGGGCAGAAACTACTTAGAGAGAGGGTCCTAGGAGCCAGGTAGAACCCCCACAAGTGCAGGTTGCCATGGCAGCAGGTAAATGAGGGACTTAGCCTGCACCTGCACCTTGTCAGCTGACCAGGAGGAGGCAGGGCCCTGGGCTGGGATTAAAGGGTTAGTTCTCTAGTAGTAGCCAAGGGGGAAGGTGTTTTTATAGAGATAGTTACTTGGAGATGCTTGACTGTCTGTTCTGATGCTGGTAGGATTAAAAGGCTGTAGGAGCTCATAAGTACTTGTGGGTGGGAGGCATGTTATACGGAGAGAGAAGCTTGCCTTAAAAGGGATAGAGTGTGGACCCCAGGGTATTGTTGTGTTGTAGCCCAGGGGCTTGTGTTTTTTTTTTTGTTGTTATATAGACTGGTGCACTAGGCTGAGGCTACTGGGGAGGAGGCAGCCTCATTGGGGCACACTACAGTGTGGAGAGCCTAGCACCAGTGAGGGTGCAGTGGCAGGGTGCAGTGAAGAGCCCAGTGCCAGCAAGGGTGCAGTGGCAGGGCTGCAGAAGAGGCTCCTGTCCCCATATTTGTGGGGCAGGAAGTTATGGAGCTCAAATACCTGCAAAGGGTGGGGGACCACTTCATAGAGCCCTACTGTGTTAATGTGGTGACTCATCAACAGAGCAGAAAGGCTAAGGTGGGAGGGTTGGAAACTTCATAGGGCATGGTCACCCAACTAGCTGCAGAGGAGGGGAAGGGAGAGACTCCCCCTAACTGCAACCATCCACCAGCCACTGAGGGAACTGGCAACCTCAAGGCTGGGTTAAGTGACAGCCCCAGGGAGGAGCCGGGTCAGTGGAGGAAACTGAGATTCTCAGGGAGAAGTTAGAGGACATCCCTGTAGGTAAAGGTGCACTTCTTACCAGAACTCCCTGCTGACTTGCTTAGCTGGGAAAAAGGAGTTCAAATAGGAGGTTCTAGAGGACCCCAGCTTGGGACTTGGGCAGATGGCTTAGGAGCCAGAGACAGAGTTCACCCCAAATTAGAGGGAATAGGTAGTCTGGGATAAGGGACTTCTGTATCGGTTGTGGGTACTGAAGAACTGTGCCGAGACCTGGGAGCCCTGTCGCCAGCTCATAGTACCTCTTAAGTTCAGACAACAGTTGCTTTCAATGGCTCATGATTTACCTTTTGCTGGTTACATGGGTAGGGAATGGACATGCCAGTGGCTGCAAGTGAATTTTTATTAGCCCAGGGTTGCCCAGAATGTGACTGACTTCTGCAGATCTTGTGAGATGTGCCAGTAGATGGGCAAAAGAGGGGACAAGAGAAAGGGAGGGGCTATAGAGGAGCCTATCATTGATCAACCCTTCCAAGAGTGGGTATAGACATCATGGGCCCACTGAGGCATAAGACTCAGAGGGAAGAAGTACATCTTGACTCTAGTGGATTTTGCAACTCGGTACCTGGAGGCAATTGCCTTTGCCTCCACTGAGGCACCTCTAGTTGCTGAAGCCCTGACCAAGATCTTCTTTCAGCTGAGTTTCCCCTCTGAGATCCTGACTAAAAGGGGTGTGAACTTCCTGGCTGAGGTGATGAAGTGCTTGTGGGAGTGCTACAGCCTACCACCCTCAGACAAATGGGCTTGTAGGAAGGTTCACTGGGACCTTGAAAGGCATGCTAAACGCCTATGTAGACTCTAACCCCAATGACCGGGGTAAGAAACTTCCGCATCTTCTCTTTGCCTACCGGGAGGTACCCCAGGAGTCCAATGGGTATCCGCCATTCAAGTTAATGTTTGGAAGGCAAGTTAGGGGTCCTCTCAATTTGGTGAGAGAAGAGTGGGAAGGCAAAACCACTTCCACTAAGACCTTCATGGTAGAATACATGTTCGGCTTTCATCAGAAGGTAACTGACATAATGAAGGTGGCACGAGATTCCCTGGCCCAGGCCCAGGAGAAGCGAAGTGTCTGGTATGATGAAAAGGCTTGCTTACGTACCTTTGAACGAGGTGATAAGGTCATGGTTTTCCTGCCACTAAAAACAGACAAGCCGCAAACAGCTTGGGAAGGTCCCCAGGTCATCCTGGACAGGCTGGATGATGTGACCTATGTCGTGTCCAGGAACAGGTCAGACAAAAAGCCTAAAATAGTACACATGAACATGCTTAAACCATACTTTAATAGAAGTGATGTGCTATCTTAGATTTCCTCAGCTGAAGGATCACCAGAGGAGCCGGTGATATATGGTAACTGGGTAGAGGCAGGAATAGAGGACCTCCACCTGCCAGATCATCTGCCTTCCCAGGACAAGAACAAGCTACTTGCAGCACTCAAGGACTTAAGACAGCGTTCTCCAACAAACCAGGTAAAATGAACCTGGCAGTACTCTCTATAGACGGGGGCAGCCATCGCCTTATCCAATCTAGACCATATGCAGTTAATGCAAAAGTGAAGCAAGAAATAAAGCGGGAGCTTGCAGAGATGAGAGTTGGGGGTAATCTGGCCTTCAATGAGTCCCTGGGCCAGTCTGGTGGTACTCGTCCAGAAGCAGGATGGGACTATCTGGCTCTGTGTGGACTACAGGAAGCTGAATGCTATTACCATCCCTGATGCTTACCCTATTCCCAGGACAGACTCTCTGCTTGTTCACCTGGGCCCAGCCAAGGTTCTCTCTACTCTCAATCTGTCCAAAGGATTGTGGCAAATGGCACTGGATCTGGACACCATAGCCAAGTCTGCCTTTATCACACCTGTCGGACTATATGAGTTTACAGTGTTACCGTTTGGTATGCACAACTCTCCTGCCTCTTTTCAAAGACTGATTAATAAGCTGTTACAAGGATGTGAGCAGTTTGCCATGGCTTATATCGATGACATCACCATCTTCAGTCAAGACTTTGAATTGCCCCTGATTCATCTGACCACTGTGTTGGGTAAGATCAAGCAAGCTGGTCTTACTGTGAAAGCCAAAAAGTGCCAGTTGGCACTATCTGAAGTGATATATTTGGGACATTGCCTAGGTGGAAGTCAGATTGCTCCCCTGTGGGATGAGACTGAGGCCATTAGACTGGCCACCCCCACAAACCAAGAAGCAAATCAGAGCCTTCCTTGGCCTGACTGGATATTACAGGTGGTTTGTCCCTGGATTTGGAGTGACAGCAGCTCCCCTACATGAGCTGACCAAGAAGGGCAGCCCTGATCCAGTGGTCTGGAAGCAGGGGTGTCAGGAAGCACTTGATACCCTGAAGGCTGCCCTGATCAAACATCCAATTCTGAAGGCACTGGTCTATGATAAACCCTTCTACATAGCCACTGATGCTGCCGACTCAGGACTAGGAGCTGTACTCTTACAAGAGCACAGAGAGACATGACACCTTGTGGTTTACTTAAGCCAGAAGTTAATCCCTTGGGAGCAGAAGTGCCATCTATTGAGAGAGTGTTTGGCAATTGTCAGGGTGCTGAACAAGCTGAGGCCCCATCTGTGGGGCAGTAGTTCACTGTCCTGTCAGACCAAGCCCCACTTCAGTGGCTGCAAACCATGCAGAATACCAAAGCCAAGCTTCAATGATGGGCCTGGCAACTTCAAGAGTTCAACTTCACCATTGAACACATCAAGGGAAGCCAGAATGTGATAGCAGATGCCTTGCCATGAAAGGACTTGGGGTAGTGGGTCGGATGGGCTCGGAGGCCCACTTAAGAGAGCTCTGGCGAGGGAACGAGGCACTCCCCAACGTGCTTTAATGTTCTTTGTGTCTTGTTGTTATAACTAGTCTTATGCATTTATGTAATCTCTCTTTAGGTGTGCAAGGTGACCCTTCCAGACAAAACATGCTTGTACCCATGGCTCTGTGAAGCCATGTGCCCAAGCTTTTAAAGGGGGGGAAGTATGGCTGAATTATATCTGTCTTGCCCCAAACTGCTATCAAGCGAATGACCAATCTGACAATTTGGTTACCATGGTCACTGCAAAGGGCAGACACCCCTTGGCCCCATCAGCTTCAGGTAACCCTGAGTTGTAACCTGAGCTGATACATTCCTGAGGGAGGGGGAAACCTGCTCCCTCTAGCTATGTGACTGGCCTCACATACCTGGGTGGGGGCTTAAACTCCCTATTGTTCTAAGCAATGCCAACCTGACTGGGAGGGGGCTAGAGACCCTGCCAGTCTATCTGGCAGCCAGTGATGCATTTCAAATTGGTTGGCTATCAGCCAACAGCTGCTGGCCTTCATTGGATCAGGTAAATGAGGTCATAAGGTCTATATAAGTTAAGGACTGCCCAGGAGGTGGGAGAGCAGCCGTTACGAGAACTCTCAGAAAAGCTAGACCATCTGACACTCGCTCTCTCTCTTGAAACTTGTAGTCAGTGAACTGCTTGCCTTCAGCGGAAATCTCCACCTGCCTCTAGATGATACTTGTGAGTAAGCTATATACCTAGCTAGATCTCAAGTAGCTTGCAGTAACACAGATGCATAATCAAAGGCTACCATGCCACTGTTTGCTCTAAGGGATTTCTCTGATATTGCTCTACCCTGTACCCTATTCCAAGCCTACTCCTTATAACCAATAAAATTCTCCTCTATACCTACCATGGGACACTTATTGGTAGAGGGTCTAGATTATGCCTTTGGATCCCCTTGGTTTGGCTAACTAAGGGAAACCACTATTTGTGCTTCAGACTGAGGGAAGCACCCCAAGTTCTTGCAGTCAGTCAAGTACCCCTCAAAGACTACTAGGCCTGTGCCTCCCAGGGG